ACGTAAAGAAAGGTACTGTTATAACTTTAAGGTTTTTTATAAAATGCTCCTGGCTAGATTGTTGAAGTGAATGACGTATCGGAATTTATTCAATTCACCCAATGAAGTACTCAGCGTAGATTCTGAAACGTAGGCTTAAGATTTCCTAGAAACTTCTAGCTAGATTGTTGAAGTGAATGACGTATTGGAATTTATTCAATTCACCCAATGAAGTACTCAGCGTAGATTCTGAAACGTAGGCCTAAGATTTCCTAGAAACTTCTAGCTAGATTGTTGAAGTGAATGACGTTTAGGAGCTTATCCATTTACCCGATGAATTTGTCAGCGAAAATTCTGAAACATTATTCTCTCAAGAACCAAAGCAGAGGTTATCTAAAAGAAAAGTTCAACCCTTCATTGTCTACCCTGCCTAAACTTGTTACAAATAAAAGGGGCAAGTACTTGTTATGGTTTGAGTAACTCTGCGAAATATCTTCAGTCGAGTAGCTAATGAATCTCACATTAAACAATATCTAAAAAAGTCAATTCTAGGTGTGGCTGAAAACTTCTTGATTAGAGTAAACGCCCTCTTGAGACAGATCGTTCTCTGGAAAACTGTTCTTCTTACAGAAAAACAAAATCTCTCACTAAACTATTAATGAGGACACTGCTGGTGTATTTGTTGTAATTATAACATATTTTGTTTTAGTGAAGTATACACTTATTTAGTGTAGTTATTGCAATAAAATTCTCTCAAGTCCTCCGGTGGGTCAGCGGTAAGTTTAAAGATTTACATCGCTAAAATCCGAGGTTTGATTCCCTGCGCAGATGGTCCAGTTTGCTGATTTGCGCTAAAAACAAATAAACAAACAATCATTTTCACGTTTTCTTCAAGATTTCGAATGATTCTGATGGTTTCGGAAACCCAACTGTTGTAAATAATCTCAGACTAAATTTACTGGTGAAAATAAAATGTCATCTTGGAATTCGGTTACAACTGTTAGTTGTATTTGAAGATTCAAGAAGGATTTAATAATAATTTGATGAGAATTATATTCAAATACACGGTGATTCAATTTACAGAGATACTACTAAAAAACGAAAGTGCAAGAACTTACAAAGTTCAAAGTTATCATGCCTTCGTCATTCGCTCATGTACGCACGAGTACAAATCAACCAGGGCTAAACGTTCAGTTCAGAGATCTCTACAGTTCAGGTATAGTCATTCC